AATGAAGTCGTAACACCCACCTTTGTTCAAAAATTAAATTAATTTGGCCTACTTGATTGCTCTTAGATACGGCCACGTCGCCCTTAGCTTAATGTAGTGGACAACTCACTATCATTTTAGCTATTTTTGATATCCAAATTCACTCTGCAATTGGAAGGTAATATTTTAAGGAAAGCTCAGTATACTTTTAGTTTTCAGGTTTAAGCTTTCGACCTTCAGCAAAAATTACTCTTTATCCAAGGTTTTTTTTCGTTCTCACAGTAAGGTTAGCGCAGTCGAGTGTTAACGTTTACAGTATGCCCTAAAAAACTGGATTTATAAAATTATTGTACATTCCTACATTCTGTCTACCGATCAGGTAGTGTGTTTTATTCCTGCGCTCTCTTAAGATATCAGTTCCACAATGTCACCGATTTACTATGAAATTAATATGATTTTCTAGATTATGCAGATGGTCCAAAACTATTTAGGAAAATTATAAGAACACCAGACTAGCAACTGATTTTAGGGCATCTACTAAATTACTGTCTGCATGAAGATCACTGCATTTTAATTTTTCTTAAGCTTGAGTATTGTATTTTAAACTGCAATTTATAGTCCAAATTTTGCGAATACTGAACACGAGGAACAAAGTCTGCACCCTGGTGCTACATAAATAGACTGGTTCTATTCATTTTTATTAGTGGACACATGAAATATACTGTTTATATTAGCATCCACCATAAAATGGCGGTGTTTACTAGAGGATTTGCGAAAAGGCTGATTGCACTGCTTTTACGGTTGTTAAACCGTTCTTAGTACAGCTTACCGTATAGGTGAACTAATGATTTCTGCGGTGGATGGATTGTCCAACCTCAAGCAAATCTACGATTAGGATCCCTGCCACTGAATGTTTTACTGCTGAAGTAATAGCCACTCTGTGCCAAACGAATGTTCGTAGGGTTATGTCACCTCCGCGGCAAAATATAACATATCATACTTTTCACTTGCCTACACTTTTAAGCGCAATAACATCTTATTGCTCCTCAATTACAAGGATTTACCAAAGGCAGATCACGTTCTCAACATTTCCTGGAGAAACACTTATTATTGAGACTTGAGTCTTACGCTTATACTTTGCCGTAGTTAGGCAATTTTTGTGGCTAGATGAGTTTTTAGGGTACGTGTTTGAAAGGCAACATTCCCTCAAATACTCAGGGTAACCTTTCTCAAGGCTCTTAGGATCGCCATTATTTCGTGAAGGACTTACTGGAGCTGAAAAGCAATATTTGCTCTTTTGACCATAAAATTCAAATCTGAACAAATAGCCGTACATCTATTCAGAATGACCGTGTCAGATTGTATTATAGGAATTTATAAGTGTAATTTCACTAAAGCTGCATTGCCTTCCCCTTTTATTGAATGAGATTCACTTAAAATTCTGAAGGCCATCAAGTTATGGCCACTGTTGAAGAGCTGCTGCAAAGATGCTCCTGTATTGACAACTTAAGTTCAGTCTCTTCAACTTCTCTTGATTAGCTTGCTCTTTGTGCCTTTCCTGAGAACTTGCTTTGACAGGCAACGCAACTACATGACCTC